TTATGGATTGATATCAAGTGCTTTTTGATACCATTCAAGTGCCTATTAATAATCATTCATTAATCTTAGGCAGTCACCTTTGATTAATTGAATTAAATTTACCTTTTCCATTTAATGAATGAATATGCTATGGATTGATATCCAAAGCTTTAACAAAATAATTTATTGCATCTTAATATTGATCTTATGAATATAAATACAATCCTAACATTTAATTTAATCATATACCATATCCATAATATCCTAAGATACAATCTAATTTAAGAGTTAATGAGTTTTTTAATAAAACCTCTGCTTCTTTATACATGTTTAAATACAATAAACATATTCCTTAATTTATTATTGAATGATTAACCTTTTCCAGCAGATGCATCAGCATTTTTAGATTAATTATTTAAAATTTAATCATAAGCTTATATAGCCTCTTAATATCTCTCTAATTCTCTTAGACAATCACCTAATTACTTTAAATTTAAATTTACCATAAGATTATATATAGAGTTGATTAGATTAACTTAATTAAATAGCTTTAATGTAATATTCTAATGCTTGATTATATTTGTAAGTCTCTTTTAAACATTCACCTAAAATAATATATTGATATAATACCTATTCCAAATTAACTTGCTGAATTATTATTATTAATTTATATGCATTTATCATAATAATCTTTAGCTTTTTAATAAGATTTTTATTCTCTTAATATATCACCTAAAAAAATAAATAAAAAGTACCTATTTTCCAATATGATAATTCATATTAAGGATTGATTTTAATTATATTTGTATATATTTATTATGCTTCTTATTATTTATTTAGTTTATTTAATGAATTTGCTTAAAATATTATTAATTAATAACCTTTTTAATACATAAATTCTAAATTAAAGGGATCAATTAATAATAATTTATCAAATATTTGAATTGCATCATTTGATTTATTTATTATATTTAAAGAGATAGCTAAAAAAAATAAATATAAAAAAAAGAACCTTTTTAATATTCAATTTAATTTGTTGCTCTTTATTAATCAGAAATCTAATATTTTATTGTTTATAATTCTAATTGTATATATAGATCTTCTAAAATTTTCTATATTTTCTATAAAGGTCCTATTATATTGGATTTAATATGAATCTTCATATCATCAAATAAAACTAAAGAATCAAGTGCTGTTAATGCTTAATTAGGTTAAAATTCATTAATTTTATCTTCTTATATACAGAATTTATAGTTTAAACCAGAAATTAATTATTCATATGATTGAACAGTTGATTTATATTAAAGTTGACATTCTGTTATAAGATCCTTTGACTATTTAGATTTAGTAATCAAAAATTAGTTTAATTAATTAATATCATCAACATCATCAATGAAATGTTAATAATGTTTCTATTATTTTTAACAATTAATGCAAAATATTCTATTCTCTCTACAATCAATTGATTTACACCAGAAAATAGCAGATGTTTAAGGATGATCCTTACATTTAAAATCCTATTTCTATTAAAATTTTTAATTCATAATTATTTAATTATTAATAAATTTAACAAATAAATATTTAATTTAAATTATACTATTTATGTTATCTTGTAAATCAGATAAATTTTATCATAATGTAATTATTAAAATCGATATTTTATGGATAAATCATTAAAATATTAATAATATATTCATCATTCATATTTTACATGATATAAAAAATACATTATCAATAATACAATTAAGACTTATAGTTGTTATATAAATTATAATCATATATAAATTATAATCAATCGAAATCTGAATTATATATATACTCCAACTTTTTAAACTTGTAAAAATTCATCAGCTTTCTCTTTTTCTTTTCACTTATTATCATTTTATTTATGAATTAATTAAATTAATATATTTGCTAAGATACTATTATTTTGATTGGAAACTTATGTTAATAATCTGTTTCTCCGTCTATAAAATGTTAAACAACTAATGATACTTGTATATAATGTTTAGATATTCATCAAATGTTTGAAAATGATAAATACAAATGTTATTAAGGATGGATGAGTGATTAGAATAACCACTGTGTTAAATTTTAATTACCTTGCAAAACTTGTTCAGTAAATTAGAATCACTGTGATTCTTAGAATGATAACAATCATATTCTTAAAGAAAATTTCAATTGTCTATTCAAAGATTCCTTTTATACTGATTTCTTAGGTTTCTGTGATCCTTGTTAACCATTATGTGCAATTTGCAATAAAAATGGATTTTTAACATGTTTAGATACAAATCAGATATTAATCAACAATTAATGTTAATTTTAAAATGGATTTTACATGAAAAATTATTCATGTCATGAATGTTAAACACCGTGTCTAAATTGTTCCTTAAATGCTCATAATAGCCTATCTTGTCTTGATGATATTATATATATTTTAGAATAAAACTTATGTAATTGTAGAGATGGATATTATTTTAGTGAAAATTTATACCTAAAATGTTATATTTAATGCTAAACTTGTGTAGATGATATAAAGTTGGATCTTACATAATGAAGAGTTTAGATGCTAATTATGTAAATTTGAGTGTTCTATCTGTTATTCATAAGAAAATTGTACTGAATGTTAAAATAATATTACCTCAATAAGATAGACTTATGTTTAAATTGTATTGAGAATTGTAAACAATTTTCAGATTTTTAAACTTTGTGTTTAATATTAAGATGTATATTTCTTCATAGGGTAAGTAATGTAAAGAATGTATAAATGTAAAACAAAAGATTTAAGTGGAAGGGATATATGAAAAATATGATTAGTTTATTACAAATGGTGTAAAAATAAGATCTTTAGAAATTTAAGTATATATATATATAAATTATAATTGAACATATTTTTCATAAACGTGTTAAATATTAAATCAAAAATATGATGAAGAATCAAAGTGGGTTCATCAGAATTTGAGATATCATCAATATAAGTGATAAAATTATTTTTTATATTTTATGCAAGTACTATATTCCAGATTGTAATAAATGTGTAAATTAATCAGATAATTGTATTTTTTGTAATGAGAAATTTGATTTAGTTGTTAATAAATGCATTTGTAATTAAGGATATTACAAATATAATTCTGATTGTTTTAAATGTTAATTTCCATTTAAAATTTGCATTTCCTAATAAATTTGTACATAATGTTCTTAGATCTAAAATATATTATTCTTGAAAAGGTTCTTGAGTTTGTTAATAAGGATATTATTTATGTAATGAAAACTAATGTTTAGAACGCAACTTGAGATACAAATCTTGCACTTCAAAAACTGAATTCCCAAACTGCTTTATTGAATAGAATAGAATTTTACAAAATAAAGATTGCATCTGTAATTCTGGCTATTTTGAATCTGAAAACTATTAGTGTTTTTCATGTAATTCAATTGAAGGTAAAAGCAAAGAAGATTGCAAATATATAGATCGTACTGATAAACAATGGACATATGGAGAATATTGCGATGATGGAAATACAATTGAAAGAGACGGATGTACCAATTGTAAAATAGATCCCAATTATAAATGTATAAATAATATACTTGAACCTTCAATTTATTTTAAATGTAATGATAATTATAATTAATGTGATTTTAATTACTCAATAAATGCCACTATTTATACTGAATGTTAGTAAGGATAATCAATTTTTATTAAATGTGCTCAAAAATAATGTCTATAATGTATATATAGTGTATCTAACTTCATTCCGATTTAAATAAAATAACTAAGGGTATTGTTTAAAATGTTAAGATAATAATAGATTTTAAAGACTAATAATTATTTTTTAAACTCTAACAACCTAAATTGCAGAAATTATTTTTGTTGATGTAACTACATTTGAATAAGTTGAAATGCCTTCTTCAAGCAATTAATATATTTTCTATGTTATTGGAACAATAAGTGGAACTGCACTTCTATTCGGAGGGTTAGATATTTTTTATAATCTTCTAGATACTATACAAATATTGTCATATCTAAAGTATATTGATTCTTAATTTCCGTTTAATTTATAACAGTTTTTCAATTACTTTGAATTAGTACAAATGAATTTCATTTAAAAATATTTCAATATTTATGACCTTTTTAATCTATGCCCGATTAATGAAAACTTTAACAATATTCCACTCAAAATTAAATAAGATGATTTAACACCTCTGTTTATAATAAACAGTGCATCAGTTATTTTCATTCGGTTTACTTAAATTCTGATATACATTGTTTCAAAAAAGATTCCATATTATTTACACCGACTAGATTTTAAATACTATGATGATATCCCAAATAAAAAACCCAGCTTGATCCTTAAAATTAAATACCTAATTTTAGCTATGAAAATATCTATAACAAGTTTTTGTCTAAAAGTATTACGAGAATTCTTTTGTAGTGGAATATATAGAGTTTTGATTACAACTGCTTATGATTTTAATTTTGCTATAGTCCTTTAATTGTATTCATTAGACATAATGTCATAGAATATTTTAATAAGATTATCCTCAATACTTGCATTATTAACATTTTTCTTCTACTTATTTATTATTTTTCATATAATTAAACTCAGTAGTTAAGATAAATATGCATTTGCAAATTATCAAAATAACCTCAAATATGGAACATTATTCGAGGGTATTAAGAAGAATAATGTAGGCAAATATTTTAATGCTATCCTGCTGATTAAGAAACTATTTTTTATGTTAACTTTAATATTTTGTTATGAAGCTCCATCTGTTTAGATAATAAATTTAATTATCTTTACTTCTGTACAAGCTTATTTCTTACTATCTTTTAAACCACTTACTGATTCTAAGGAATTCATAAAACAATTTAGCTGCGAACTTAATATTACTATCACATTATTATTATTATTGATATTAAGTTTGAATGAATAATTAAGAATATTGACAGAAGATATGAAAGATTATTTAGGATGGGGTTGCATTGCAAGTATCACTGCTATTTTATTAATATAATTAATTTTAGATGCTATTCAACAATGGATATTTCTATTATAAAAGTATAAAAAGTTAAAAAGATTTATAAATAATCTATTAAAACTATTTAAACCAACCTTATTAAAAGAAATCGATCATAACATATTTATGACAGCATGAAAGTAAATTGATTTTTATAATATTAATAAATTATAAATGCGTTGAAAAGTTTATTATTATATATTATTCTAAGATCAATCTATGAAATTGTACTTTTTTTTAAGATTAGTTTCATCATACTAAAGTAAATGGTAAGTTTTTCTGTCATTTACATAAAGACCTTTAAATTTTTCATTAAATTTTAAGGAAATATTAATGTTTAATTCAATTATTTAATAATTTGTTTATTTAAAATACTTGAATTTTATAGGAAATAATTGTTTTGTTTTTCAAAATATAAGGTAGAATTTTTAGTAACTTATTAACATTTTCAAAATAATTGGAATTTTTTTAAATGCAAATGCTGTCCTCAATCCCTCAATTCTCGAAGAACTCAACATTTCATGATAATATACTATTAATAAAATCTCGATTAAACTCGAAATATCAGTATATACATTTTTTTCTTTCTCTAAGATTATTTGCATTAATTTTCGATTTTATTATATGGATAGATACATACTTTATTTTCTGGAAGATGGATTTAATTTGATTATTATGTACAAGACTAAAAATCTTGATAGGTTTGGACCATCACAATCTTAAAAGCCAAGATTTATAATTAAGGGTTATTTCTTGTAAATTACCATATTTAAAAACTGAAAATTATTAAATTAATAAACATTATTATTATTAATTTTCTATCCATTATAGAATGTAATTTCCCCTTTTAATTTAGACTTTAATAAATCTACTCTATACCAAATTATTATTTAATTTTAAATTAATCATTTTTTCTTAAATAAAAGGATCATCCGAAAAATCGATTGAAATATCTGGAAAAAGTATAATTATATGTAGNAAGTAATAAAGTGACATTACCTCTGATTTGAAAATGGTTATCATATTGAATATCAATATTTTATTTGTAATTAATCCAAACTCAACTTAACTGTTACTTTTTAGATAACATTTCATTAAAGCATAGAGAAATAAGACCTCAAAATTAGCTTTACAAACCTTTCTCATTTTAAATCAAGTGATGATTAAATAAGTAATAGGTTTTTTATTATATCAATAATAATAATAGATTTTAAAGACTAATAATTATTTTTTAAACTCTAACAACCTAAATTGCAGAAATTATTTTTGTTGATGTAACTACATTTGAATAAGTTGAAATGCCTTCTTCAAGCAATTAATATATTTTCTATGTTATTGGAACAATAAGTGGAACTGCACTTCTATTCGGAGGGTTAGATATTTTTTATAATCTTCTAGATACTATACAAATATTGTCATATCTAAAGTATATTGATTCTTAATTTCCGTTTAATTTATAACAGTTTTTCAATTACTTTGAATTAGTACAAATGAATTTCATTTAAAAATATTTCAATATTTATGACCTTTTTAATCTATGCCCGATTAATGAAAACTTTAACAATATTCCACTCAAAATTAAATAAGATGATTTAACACCTCTGTTTATAATAAACAGTGCATCAGTTATTTTCATTCGGTTTACTTAAATTCTGATATACATTGTTTCAAAAAAGATTCCATACTACTTACATCGACTTGATTTCAAATACAGTTTAAATTTAAATGAGAATATTCATAATATGATGATATACCAAATAAAAAAACCAGCTTGATCCTTAAAATTAAATTCCTAATTTTAGCTATGAAAATATCAATAACAAGTTTTTGTATAAAAGTTTTAATAGAATTGTTTTGTAGTGAAATATATTGAGTTCTGATTACAACTGCTTATGATTATACTTTTACAATAGTCCTTTAATTGTATTCATTAGACATAATGTTACATAATATTTTAATAAGATTAAGCTAAATACTTGCAGTGTTAAAATTTTTCTTCTACTTATTTATTATAATAAAGCTGAGTAGTTAAAATAAATATACATTATTCTACTTAATCACCTCAAATATGGAACACTGTTTGAGGGGATTAAGTAGAATAATGTAGGTTAATATTTTATTATGAAGTCCATCTTTTTTAGATAATAAATTTAATTATTTTTATTTCTGTACAAGCTTATTTCTTACTTTCTTTTGAACCACTTAGTAATTATAAGGAATTCATAAAAAAATTTAGCTGTGAATTTAATATTACTATCACATTTTTATTATTATTGATATTAAATTTGAGTGAATAATTAAGATTATTGATAGGAGATATGAAAGTTTATTTAAGATTGAGTTGTATTGCAAGTATCACTGCTTTTTATTAATATAATTAGTTTTAGATGCTATTAAAAGAAATAGATCATAACATATTTATAAGAGCATTAAAGTTATATTGATGTTCCATAAAATAATAATAAATTTTAAGAATATTTAACAATTTATTATTATATATTATTCTATTATCATTCCAGAATATTATTCTTTTTTATTAAGTTTAATGTTATCAATTTAAGCTTATAAAAATAGTTAGTAATTTACTAACTGAATTTACATAGATTAATTAATTAATTTTTAAGACTAAAAGCCTTAGGTTTTGAAAAAGAATCAGAATTTAGACTAATAAGATATTCCAGTTAAATTATTTATTGTAGCATCAATCTTCAATTAATCTGAATTCGAATATACTTGTTATCTCTAACATCAAACCCTATTTAGAATTGCTTTTTGTAATTACTCATTTATATCTTAGCTTCATTTGATTTCAATAATTATTTAAATCTCCTTCTTTTATTTTTTTGAATAGTGTATTTCCGCCTTTCTATTCGTACTGAATTCTAATGGTTTCATGAGTTATGTTTATTATATTTTGATATTGTTTTAGAAACACTTTTGTATCATTTACATTTCGTATATTGACATTTTAATCTCAGCATTTTTCTTTAAAGTAAAGTATTTAATTATTTTATTTGAAAGTTCATTATTGAATTTAACAGAAATATTTGCAGTATTACTCAAAAAAAATAATTTTTAGCTAGATTTTTAATTTACTTTCATGCTTGAATCTATAAATA